GCCCTGCTCGTGGAGCTTACAATCTAAAGGAAGGGGGAGGTGATACAAAAGGTGATAACTGAGGGGGATGATCTGGTGGAGGTGATTCAAGTACAGTTCTTAGGTGGAGGTGGGGTAGGCTTCCCTGAAGAAGTAAGTTTTCAAAGATCGCCTAAAGGCATACAAGGTGGGGGCTGACCGGACATGCTGTGGTAAAGAGTTCCAGGAGATGGGAGAGGCTCTGGAGAAGTCCTGGATGTGAGCGTGGGAGGAGGTGATGAGGGAGCTAGAGAGGAGGATATCATGGGAGGAGCGGAGTGGGCGATTTGGCGGTATCTGTGGATGAGGTTTGTGGTGTAGGTAGGGGCAGTGTTGTGGATGGCTTTGCAAGCTGTGGTTAGTATTTTGAATTTTATACGTTGGGTTAGTGGAAGTCAGTGGAGGGATTGGCAGAGAGGGGCAGCAGTCGCTGATCGTTTGGTAAGGTGCATGTACGTTCATTTCTGTGTGAATGCCAGCAAATTTGAATGTTACTAGGTTTTTCCTCTCCAGCTCTGATATTCTTCATTCATAAGAATAGCATAAATCAGTAAAATATCATATTATGGCCACTATATAGAGTTAATGAGCATAGGAAACATATACTTGTTTACTTTACTTACACAGACTTGTCGATTCCATCTAGTGGCCATACTGCAATATTTTCCTGTTTCACGCTATTCCAATGAATAAAGAACATCTGATCTGAAGAAATAATATCCTCGTAACGTTCAATTTTGCCAGCATTCTCACAGAACAAATACAGTTGTACTTTCATAGCATGAAAAGCTCTGCATTTATTATTTAAATACACCCCGAAGTTTTGTATGTGTTGCAAACAAAACCAGCCACTGCACTCATTGCAGTTCAGTCCAATGGGAAGCCCAACTAGTCTTCAAATGAATTGACTGCCAGTCTCCATTTAACTGCATTGACCTCCAATATAGATTCTCCTGTAGCTTAAAATGAAAAAGAAGCAATTTCTTTACTAAAAATAAAGAGATTTGGTAATGTAGACATGTGTCCAACTAATTCATAGTGTGTGTTTTATAGATAGGCCCCATTCAACTACCACCCAAATGTAAAAACTAATATTATTGTTGTAACTTTAATATATAATATGCACAATAATTATATATATATATATATATATATATATACAGTCAGGTCCATAAATATTGGGACATCAACACAATTCTAACATTTTTGGCTCTATACACCACCACAATGGATTTGAAATGAAATGAACAAGATGTGCTTTAACTGCAGACTGTCAGCTTTAAGTTGAGGGTATTTACATCCAAATCAGGTGAACGGTGTAGGAATTACAACAGTTTGCATATGTGCCTCCCACTTCTTAAGGGACCAAAAGTAATGGGACAGAATAATAATCATAAATAAAACTTTCACTTTTTAATACTTGGTTGCAAATCCTTTGCAGTCAATTACAGCCTGAAGTCTGGAACGCATAGACATCAACAGACGCTGGGTTTCATCCCTGGTAATGCTCTGCCAGGCCTCTACTGCAACTGTCTTCAGTTCCTGCTTGTTCTTGGGGCATTTTCCCTTCAGTTTTGTCTTCAGCAAGTGAAATGCATGCTCAATCGGATTCAGGTCAGGTGATTGACTTGGCCATTGCATAACATTCCACTTCTTTCCCTTAAAAAACTCTTTGGTTGCTTTTGCAGTATGCTTTGGGTCATTGTCCATCTGCACTGTGAAGCGGCGTCCAATGAGTTCTGAAGCATTTGGCTGAATATGAGCAGATAATATTCCCGAAACACTTCACAATTCATCCGGCTGCTTTTGTCAGCAGTCACATCATCAATAAATACAAGAGGACCTGTTCCATTGGCAGCCATACATGCCCATGCCATGACACTACCACCACCATGCTTCACTGAGGATGTGGTATGCTTAGGATCATGAGCCGTTCCTTTCCTTCTCCATACTCTTCTCTTCCCATCACTCTGGTACCAGTTGATCTTGGTCTCATCTGTCCATGGGATGTTGTTCCAGAACTGTGAAGGCTTTTTTAGATGTCATTTGGCAATCTCTAATCTGGCCTTCCTGTTTTTGAGGCTCACCAATGGTTTGCATCTTGTGGTGAACCCTCTGTATTCACTCTGGTGAAGTCTTCTCTTGATTGTTGACTTTGACACACATACACCTACCTCCTGGAGAGTGTTCGTGATCTGGCCAACTGTTGTGACGGGTGTTTTCTTCACTAGGGAAAGAATTCTTCGGTCATCCACCACAGTTGTTTTCCGTGGTCTTTCGTGTCTTTTGGTGTTGCTGAGCTCACCGGTGCGTTCCTTCTTTTTAAGAACGTTCCAAACAGTTGTTTTGGCCACGCCTAATGTTTTTGCTATCTCTCTAATGGGTTTGTTTTGTTTTTTCAGCCTAATGATGGCTTGCTTCACTGATAGTGACAGCTCTTTGGATCTCATCTTGAGAGTTGACAGCAACAGATTCCAAATGCAAATAGCACACTTGAAATGAACTCTTGACCTTTTATCTGCTCATTGTAATTGGGATAATGAGGGAATAACAAACACCTAGCCATGGAACAGCTGAGAAGCCAATTGTCCCATTACTTTTGGTCCCTTAACAAGTGGGAGGCACATATGCAAACTGTTGTAATTCCTACACCGTTCACCTGATTTGGATGTAAATACCCTCAAATTAAAGCTGACAGTCTGCAGTTAAAGCAAATCTTGTTCGTTTCATTTCAAATCCATTGTGGTGGTGTATAGAGCCACAAATGTTAGAATTGTGTCCATGTCCCAATATTTATGGACCTGACTGTATATATAATATAAATAATTTTATTGTCATTATATTTTTGTCAAATAATTATATTATCAAGAATATTAAGAAAAAAATCTCTATATTAAAATGTATTAAATAAATTGTGCCATGAAAAATTATATGTACAAGATAAGCAGCCATTCCATGGGAAGGTAATGTTGCACAACATTTTCTAATAGTACTCAGGCTATATAGAGATCTGATAAAATGGAAAATCCTATATATGCTGAGAAAGCAAAGTAAGATATAGAGAAGTCAATGCTGTGCTGCATTGCCCCATAAGCTGTAATGATTGATCATCCCACATGCATCCAATAATACATCTTAAGTTGCAGACAGGAAGATAGTGTGAGGTAAACAATTTTTTTTTCTGAATCACTACATACTCAACTGTAAGGCAATCTTCCCTTAAAGCAGTCTTTCTCAACCTATTGAATTTGGAGGAACCCTTGACATACCTTTCCAAACTCAAAGAGCCCCTGCTAAAATTACTTTTCTACAACTCATGATACATTAACGTGATGATCAGTGGAAAGAATGTTCCTTACAATTGTAGTTATTGGGAAGAATTACTCACTTACAGATGGCTAAAAAAGATCATTGATGTTAGTGGGAACCTATCTGTAAAGCAGAAATTGCTCTTTGCTCAAGGAACCCCTAGTTACCTCTTGAGGAACCCTGGTTGAGAAACCCTGCCTTAAAGTGAAAGTGTGATATATTGTCATTGATGAACATGTTAATATTGCAGGATTTACTTTAATAGTAATTTTGATGATACTTTTACATATTTTATATTATTGCTCTACTATGTTTTTGTTATCATATTTAAAGGACATGAAACCTTCATTTTTTTATATGAAATAAAAATAACAAACATGTTATTCTTACCTGCTCTGTGCAATGGTTTTGCACAGAGCAACCCCGATCCTCTTTTTTTGAGGTCCCCCACCGGTGTTCAAGGCTATTCCTTTTTCGCAAATGCCCCCATGAACAGTAGCTTTCCATGGGGGCACTCATGCGGGATCAAACTCGACCAGCCCTGTCTGCATCTATTGACACAGAGCATGTGGCTTGGCCCCGCCCCACCCCCTCTTCACAACATTTGATTGTCAGCAGTGGGAGACTGCTATCAATCTGCCCAGTGAGGTGGAAGACAGCAGCGAGAGCCACTGCTCTTGAGCATATCGCTGGATTGGATCGGGCTTAGGTAAGAATGGGGAGGGAGGGCTGGGGGATCCTGCATAGAAGGTTTTTAACCTTAATGCATAGGATGCAAAAAAACCTTAAGGTTTTAGAACCACTTTAACTTGATTGATTAACCTAAATAGCCAATGTACATGATTCTGTGTTTGACTCTTTCTGCTTGACAGTTGTTGAGATAAAATGTCTATAAGATTGTACTATGTGTATATATATATATATATATATATATATATACATATATATACACAGTGCTCAACATAAATGAGTACACCCCAACAGATTTGTCAGAAAACTTACTTTCCTTTCAAATCAAATTTTTCTGTGGTACACTATACTACAAAATACTCCCACAAATGCGGGCCATAGATTGCAAACAAGATTTGTTAATTTGCACACACAAAAAGTATTTTTCCTAACAAATTAATTCAAGACCATGTTGCAAATATGAATACACCCCAATGAAAGTCATTATACAGGTGTCCAGCAGACAGTTGATTATAAAAGGGCATTACTCAACAAAGAAAACCCATTCTCATTTCATGCTGCCAGCACTGACACCACATGGAAGAGAAATGTCCCAAGGTCTGAGAAAGAAAAGAGTTTCTTTATACAAGAAAGGTGAAGGCTACACTAAGATCAGCAAAACTTTATTTATCAGTCATAATACTGCAGCAAAAGTGATACAAAAATGTAACAAGGATGGAATTGCAACAATCTCACAGAGATGGCCAGGTCATCGATGGAGGTTAATACCTCGACAGGAGCATCTTTTGATGAGAAGGGTTGAAGAAAATCACCATGCAAATACACTGCAGTTAGCTAAAGAATTAGAAAGCCAAACTGGGGTGATTGGTTCCCGTGACACAATAGGGTGTAAATTGCAGAGAAATGGCATGCATGGGTGTCGTCCACGGAGGAAGTCTCTCCTAAAGCCTATTCACAAAAAAGCCCGCCTAGAATTTGCCAGGGCCCATGCTGAAAAAGAAGACCACTGGGACTCTGTACTCCGGATTGACGAGACAAAGATAAATGTTTTTGGAACTGATGGCTTAAAAACTGTATGGTGTCGCAAAGGTGAGGAGTACAAAGAAAAATGCATGGTGCCTACAGTAAAGCATAATGGCGGCAGTGTCATTCTGCGGGGATGCATGAGTGCTGCTGGTGTTGGGGAGCTGCATTTCATTGATGGTATCATGAATTCACAGATGTACTGCTCTATATTGGAATAGAAGATGATACCATCACTCCATGTCCTTGGTCATCGTGCACTTTTCCAACATGACAATTATCCAGAACACACATCTAAGGCCACTGTTGCATTTCTGAAGAAGAACAGGGTGAACGTGGTTCAGTGGCCAAGTATGTCTCCTGATCAGAACCCAATCGAACACCTATGGGGAATTCTGAAGATACACGTTGAGCATCACTCTCCATCCAGCATCCAGGCTTTAAAAGAGGTCGTTCTTGAAGAATGGAAAAAGATTGGTAATGCAATATGTCACCAACTTGTTCATTCCATGCCTAGAAGACTTGGTGCTGTCCTTACAAATCATGAAGGTCATGAAAATAACAGATGTAGTAGTCTTTGTTGCGGGGTGTATTCATTTTTGCATCAACTAATGTAATGTAAGTAAAACTGAAGATTTTGTAGTCTAAGTCATATTATTAACCTTACTTTCATTTAATGAACTAAACAATTCTTGTGTTCATTGAGATTGATTAAAATATTACTTTAAAAAATGGTGTACTCATTTATGCTGAGCAATAATATATATATATATATATATATATATATATATATATATATATATACTGGGTGCACAATAATTAGGCAAATGAGTATTTTGACCAAATCCTCATTTTTATGCATATTATTCAGCTCCAAGCTGTATAAACTTGAATGCTTATTGTATTTAAGCATATCAGGTGATGTGTATCTGTGTAATGAGGGAGGGAGAGTGGCCTAAGGAGATCAACTTCCTATATCAAAGGGATGAAGCACCCTTGAAATTGCTAATTTATTGGGGCATCATCACAGAACCATCAAAGGTTTTGTTGCAAATAGTCACTATGGCCACAAGAAACGTGTTGAAAAAAAAAGACGCAAATTAATTGTCAAAAATTTGCTAAGAATCAAACTTGAAGCTACCAAGAACCCATTATTCTCCAGTGCTGTCATATTCTGTAACCTATCTGGAGTGCCCAGACATTCAAGGTGTTCAGTGCTCAGAGACACTTAGAAATAAATAACATGTCACAAGAAAAGGTTACTGCTGCAATTGTTAATAGCAATATGTGCACATGAGACCAAATGAATGCAGTGCCATAGGTATATGAGATGCACATACAGTTGCATGCTAAGGATTCAGATCAATGATCCAAGGTTCTGCTAAGGGGGTAAATGAAAAGGGATTGGTAATGGAAAATATATATAGTAGATATATATAGTAGAACAATTGTAAATGATAGAAAGCTGAAAAAAGATATTACAATTGCATTAGGGGACATTGCATTGTCTGGGGCACCAATGTAAGACAACTGCTGATATGGGACAAACACAAGAAAAATGACTAGTGATATAATATCGAAGGGGTGGAAACTCAAATTTAGATCAGATTGTGAACTTCTGAATCTTCATTGAGTCCCACAGGAGCCAGATTTTCCAAGGTAAAGATCCAATAGGCTTCTCTCCTATATAGTCTCTGGTATCTTCTCCTTCTAGATGGCCACTTATGGCTTCTATACCGAAGACCCTGAGGGCCTTTTGTGAAAATGCAGGATATGTCCTTAGATGTCTTTGTGAGATGTTCTTAAGCAACAGCATGCCTTATATTATATCCTTGGCTGAATGAGGATCTTTATTTTCTTCAGTGAATTATTCTACATTGGAACACTTTTCCAGCTTTGGAGTGAGCTATGGCTAACATACGTGCTAAGCCACAGTATTCAAGCTAGCTATATATGTTCTAGATAAATGGAATTTGTGTCCACACTGTCCACTTTATAGGCTACTTGACTACTTATATATACTTATTGACAATTCAGATGTCCTTATTCTAGACCTCCCTGTTGATTGATAGTGTCTCTGAATGTTTTGGACACGTACCTTTACAATACGAGTTACATGAGGATTTTATGTATAACAAGGTGGGCTTGGTTTTACTGGCATTTGTCTGTACCATGGTAATTTTATTTCATTTGTGTATAATAAAGAAGTGTAATCTGACTATGTGGTTGTCTGAATGTATTATACTTTTTGTTTATTGATTTTTTTAGTCAAATTTGATATTTTATTATTTTTAATCTTTTCTGTGGTACCCTACCTAGTGTTTTTTGGCCTGTACACAGTCTATTGATGCACAGGGCACATCAGCACAACTCTCAGCTTCAATGAAAACCAGTGGACCTAAAAAAGGGGATCTTGCACATCACATGACATACATAAAGACTATAATTTTGCATTTACATTCAGTAATTTGATCAATGATAGCTTCACCAGGACATATAGAATGATTAATCTTGCCAACGGGGACACACACCAATAATAATCTGACAGGGATACACTTTAAGTTATTGTAGTATTTACTTTAACAATTTGATGACTGAGCTACAGCCTAATTTACCTCTCCTCTCCACCCCTCACCTCACCCCCTCACTCTCCGCCTGCATCACCCACCTCCTGAACGACACATCAGACTGGATGTCGCTCCATTTCCTCAAGTTAAACCTGTCCAAAACCAAGCTCCTGGTCTTCCCCCCAGCCCGCCCCCCCCCCCCCCCATCCTCTCCATCACGACTAGCAACACCACCATCAATCCCACCCCACAAGCCAAAGTCCTGGGTGTCACCCTGGACTCAAACCTTTCCTTCCAACCTCATGTCCAATCACTATCAAAGTTATGCAGGCTCCACCTCCGCAACATCTCCAAGATGCGTACATTCCTCACCCCAGACACTACTAAACAACTCGTACACTCCCTCATCATCTCACGCCTGGACTACTGCAACTCCCTTCTCACTGGCCCACCCAAACACATGCTTTCCCCGCTCCAGACTAGACTCATCCACCTCACCAACCGCTCCACATCTGCCACCCCCCTCTGCCAATCCCTTCACTGGCTCCCGATTGCCCGGCGCATCAAATTCAAATTACTAACTCTGACCTACAAAGCCATTCCATTCACAACGCCGCCCCAAACTACCTAACTGACCTGATACCCAAATACTACCCTACCCGTGCCCTTCGCTCCTCACAGGACCTCCTATTCTCTAGCTCCCTGGTCTCCTCCTCTCACGCCCGACTTCAGGACTTCTCCAGGACTTCCCCCATCCTCTGGAACTCCCTACCTCAATCCACGAGACTGTCACCTACCCTCCTCACCTTCAGGCGCACCCTGAAAACCCATCTCTTCAGGGAAGCCTACCCCACCCTCACCTAACAACCGATCTCCTCCACTCCTCCCACCACTCCATCCCCCACAGCCACTTCCTTCTGTACCACTATCCCCTCCCTCCTAGATTGTAAGCTCGAAAGAGCAGGGCCCTCAAACCCCTCGTGTATTGTATTGTTACTGTATTGTCTCATGTTCTGTCCCCCTCGCAGAGCCCTCCTTTCCCTCTTGTATTGAACTGTATTGTTGCTGTATTGTCTCTCCCGTTATATTGTAAAGCGCTGAGCAAACCCTTTGGCGCTATATAAATACTGTATAATAATAATAATGACAGCTACAGCGCAGTCGTCTTCTTCTGGGAGGGCATCGTATGATGTCCTTCAGAACCATGCCTCCCACGCGCCCCCTGGGGCACACACCTGGAGAGCTGTCACTGCATGAGGAGATAGGAGTGCCTATAATCAGCAACTTTATGTTACATCAGAGGACATCAGCGCAGCCCCAAGGGGACATCAGTGCAGCCCAAACAATGTCCATCAGTGCAGTCCCAACAGTGTCAATCAGTGCCGCCAGTCGTTGTCCATCAGTGCCGCCAGTCGTTGTCCATCAGTGCCGCCAGTCGTTGTCCATCAGTGCCGCCAGTCGTTGTCCATCAGTGCCGCCAGTCAGTGTCCATCAGTGCCGCCAGTCAGTGTCCATCAGTGCCGCCAGTCAGTGCTATCTATCAGTGCCCATCAGTGCCGTCTATCGGTTCCCATCAGTGTCACATATCAGTGCAGCCTCATCAGTACTCATTGGTGCAGCCTATCAGTGCCCATTAAAGCTGCATATCAGTGCCCATCAGTGAAGGAGAAAAATTACTTGTTTCCAAATCTTTATAACAGAAACTAAAAAAAAAAAATTTGTTTTTCAAAATGTTGGGTCTTTTTTGGTTTGTTTAGCAAAAAATAAAAAACCCAGTGGTGAATAAATACCACCAAAAAAATCTCTATATGTCTCAGATAAAAGATAAATTTTCATTTAGGTACAGTGTTGCATGACTGCGCAATAGTCATTCAAAGTGCGACAGCACTGAAAGCAGGCATGGGTAGAAAGGGAGTGAAAGTGCCCGCTAGGCAAAGTTCTTTCTGATATCTGAATTCTGATGTTTTCACCAGTTTTTCCCTTCTGTATTTTTGTCATTGTATTATTAATTTTATTTCTCAGGGTATTTCCTAGATATCTGTGCCTCAGTTCTTAGGCCTACACACCTGTTACAACCACCATGAGAGAGTCCAGATGGAGTTGTTAGATTTGTTTGTTTTTATATATATTATTTGAAATGCAAGCAGAGGAGTGGGAACACCAATATGGACAGAATCATCCAGAACTATGTTAAGGAATCAGTAGCTGTGGCATAGACATCTTGGTGGTATAATATGTCAGCCGAACTCTACCAATAAGTAAAATATCAGTTTTTGGGTGAACTGGCATTTTTACCCTTGCAATATTTGATTATGATAACAAAACTTTGTCCTTTGTAAAAAATTATGTAGTGCATAACTTGCTTTACAGGAAATCAGGCAACAAACTTTCAGATAACTGGCGCTAAGAATATGGTAATTAAAAGATAATCACATCTAACTCAGTAGCATCTCCTACATATCAATCCTGAGTGCCTATCTGCCTTTCCTGTTATCAAGGGCTTAAGGTGTACCAGTGAAGTAGAATATCCATCCACTCAATGAATATATACTGTAACATTAGTAATTGAATCTTTAATTGCTACATCCTTGATCCAATTCCAAGTTTCAATAAAAGCACGAATAAAGTGTACACATAAAAATTCATATCTTATAACATTACACCATATATATGTAACTTACGATCAGGGGCGGACTGACCATTTGGAAACTCGAGCACTGCCTGAGGGCCCAGGGTCAGTAGGGGGCCCCA